TCTCTCTCTCTCTCTCTCTCTCTCTCTCTCTCTCTCTCTCTCTCTCTCTCTCTCTCTCTCTCTCTCTCTCTCTCTCTCTCTCTCTCTCTCTCTCTCTCTCTCTCTCTCTCTCTATCTATCTATCTATCTATCTATCTATCTATCTCTCTCTCTCTCTCGTGTTCATAATTTTAATACGTATTAATAGATTCTATTGAAACAATTAAATTTACGGAGGAATTTCTGTCGTATGGACATGTTCCTAATTTCATTATTATGTATAAAATTAATATTACATGTAACACGTAAGCGAGAATATTTCCAGCGAGTTTCGAGATTGTCAAGATGCAAATAGTTAAAGATTAACGATAACATCGCAAATAAATGGACGAGAACCGGCGGAAGGACAATGACAGGATGAAGCGAGGACATCGAGATCGTCGATACCAAAGGAAAGTTCGAGAAACAGGAACATTCTCACCACCTTGAGCCGGTGGCCGAATAGTGCACTCTCATGTCAAGCTGCCGCATTCATAAATTGGTTAGAACTTAGTGGGACCAATGAGAAACGCTATCCAATTAGTCCTTCAACTCAATGATAAACTATGCTAAGTTAACGCGAGACGCAAACAATAATGTAAGAGATACACAATCATTAAAAATATATTAGAAATTACAATCATACAATTATTGTTAACGTTTCAATTATTTAGATATAAATCATAAAACTTTTATAATAATTTTGTAACTAAGTAAAAAATTAAACATTGACATGGGAAAATATAATCTAGCAATTTTTTAAAAATATTGTTAATGTCTTGTGTTAATATCTTGCGATGTGACGTGATCTAAATCCACATGGTTTCAACTTAGGAACATTTATTATTACAATCAATTAATGCTGTTCTTTGACGAAATAAACTTTTTCTTTTCATCTTACGTTTCTTTTCTTTACCTTGTCTTGATTTTTTTTTTAATATAGAAAATATATTTAAATTATAGAAATATTTTTTTTTAAATTTTTTAAATATTTTATTAAAAATATAAAGCTACGTCATTTATATTAAATAAATATTCAGAGATTATAAAACTTTACTTCAAGATTATAAAACTTTAACTTGAACATGAAGAGGGTAAATATTTGACGGATGACACTTGCATATCTCAGCTTGCGTACAGATATTTATCTTTCCTCAGTGGACAACCCGACAGCGCTGTTTCGCAATATGTTCACAAACGGGGAATTTTTTCGCAATTTATTTCGCAGAATTATTTGCAGAATCTGTTTCGCAGAATTGTTTGCAGACTCTGTTTTGCAGATTTTCTCTGAAAAATACAGATAGAATTATAGATTTTCACATGGACATTCATATTTACTTCCTTTCCAGCTATCCAATACGCGGAAGCATATCTGATTGATACGTTATCATAATTCATTATTACGAACCATCGTAATGTCAGTAGCTTGCTAGATAATACAGCGATAGTATGAAGAACGGCCTCAACTTAGTCGGTTTTATGAGTTTCAATTTTTTGCGTAATTACAAAATATTAAGTGCATCTCTACGTCCGTAATTAGTAGATTTCACGATGAGCTTAAAAGATAGGGATACCATCGAGGAGGTATATGTAGCTATAATAAACAATTTTTAATAAATCTTATTAAAAGTGTTAAGAAATTATCGTTAATATCGTTCGTGATATTTGATTTAGATTTAATATATACGAAAAGACATTTTTAAATGTCACGCTCGAGTTTACTAAAGATTATCGTTCCAATTTAAATAATAAAGAAAGCAAGATTTTATCACCTCTTTTACCTCCTTTCATATTACGCAATACATTAATTGCTAAGTTTAAACTTTTTATTTGTAGTCGTCGGTTTTTTTTTTTTATACACTAAGCTGGTATTTTTAGGACGATCTAACGTTCAGAATAGAGAACGACATTTTGATCGGAAAGGAAGTAGCGATTCACAAGGATTGCACGAATGTCGGTGCGTTGGTGTTGGAGAAGATGCGAAGCCGACCGGAATTCGTCGCGCAAGTAAGTAAGGCACAGTCGACTTCCGCGGGAAGATGTCGGTGGAGGCATTGCCAAATCGATTTCAACGTAAATTTCGCCACGATTTATCACTTAACTCTCCTTCGTTTGATCATGAACCCGTGCGCGTAGGTGGAGGCGGTTACCGGCGCGGAGACCACTTTTGCAGAAATGACGGAGAAAAGCGTGAAATGCGCGCTTTGGTTGAGAGAGCAGGCCGTTCAACCGGGCGACATAATCGGCATTTGCACTCACAATCACTTGGAATCATACGTACCGCTGCTGGCGGCACTCTACGTCGGCGCCATTAGCAATCCGTGGGACAATGAACTTTCCCCAAGTACGTTACTCTCGTACTTGCTTTCCCAGCTTGTTTCCGCTTTTTTCCTATGCCGCGAGCATTGGAAAAAAACCGCCGAAACGAAATCTGATTTCCGCGCGTCGAGAGTAAAACCTGTCCTTGCACGACATTTCGTTTCTCCATCTTCTTTTTTTTCCTCGTCGACTCTTCTTTTAATCGACACATTATTGCATCGTGAAAGAAGAAGTTCATCGCGGAGTGCTCGGATCTGCCTTTATCTGCAAACAAAACTAAAATCGTTGCAATCAAATGCAATTAATTCACGGAAATTCGGCAGCATCGTTGAGTTTCTTGCACGCGGAGGATAATGAATCATGAATATTTCCTCTCTTTTAGCAACCGCGCGTTACTTCCTCTCGCTGACGAGACCGAGAATAGTATTTGTGGACGCCCCCTCGGCCGAGTGCTTGGCGCAGGTCGTCAAAGAAGACGATCTAAACACCAGGCTGGTGGTGTTTGGCGAACTGGCGGGATTCGAGGGCGCGTCTCTGATGAGTGTGCTGCGTTCTCAGGACGCCGCGGGGATCGATAGATTCGAATGCGCGAGGCTGACCAGCCCCGATCAGGTCGCGACGATCGTTTGCTCGTCGGGCACGAGCGGCCTTCCGAAGGGCACCGAGATCAGCCACGCGTCCATGATCAATTACATGGCTCACGTCAAGATCCATGACCTTAAAGGACACGTGTCCATGTGGACACCTTCCATGCGCTGGTACTGCGGTCTATTCATCATTATCAAGGCTATTCTTGATTGCTCGAAGAGAGTCATAATTCCGGACTGCGACAACGACGAGGAGATGTGTCGCTTCATCGAGAAGTACGAGGCGAGTGACGACAGGCCGATAAATATTTTATTTTCGTTCGTTAAATAAACGCACGTCAATAATAAAGAGGAGAAATTTTGTCTCTCTAATAACGCGTACAGACAGTCGCAACAAGTTAATAAATAATCATTAGATATTATATATTCGTGAATAACAGCGATTTCGCGCGTACTTTCAGCGAGTCACCGTTCAATAGCGTATATCTGTTATTTAAAACGTTTTACAAAGCATCCTTTCGACGACGCCGTTGCGCGAATCGGCGCGGAAATTAATCACACGTTTATGTGCGATAGAGATAAAATTTAATATTTGGCAATACCACCTGATTTTATTATGCGCTTTTTACACGGATTTTTACACGCACTTTCATCGCTGTTTTCATGCAGAGCTTGCGGATTCTTGCGGATATTTCGCGCGATATCATCCACGTGCGGTTGCATTAATTTATGTTAATTTATGTCGCGTGGCGAATTTGCTAAAGGATAACACGGAGCTTGAATTGAGGCGCATCTACAAACGGGCGTGATAGTTGTACCGCGTGATTTATCGCCTCGTGCAGGTATAATACCGCGAGAGCGTTCGCGAGTTTAACGGCGTCGTTTTGCATTCAGGTATCCTGGTTTAGATGCGATTCCTGCTTCCCCATTCGGCTGGTAAAGTTCGACATATTAAGCAAGTACCGACTACCAACATTGAAAATCCTTTTGTTTGGCGGCGCGCATTTCCGGGGAGAGTTGCAGCAGACTCTGGTGAAACTTTTGCCGCATACCAGTGTCATACTGAGCTACGGTGGGTCGCGAGAGGACAAGAATATCGTTATCGCTTCTGTCCTCGCCATCTCGTTTTGAAAATATCGATTGATAATTTATATATATATATATAAAACGCAAGATGCTTCTATTTGAAATAATACGTATTGAACGTGTAACGCAAGATGGATAATTTTTGCACAAACCTGCAGGAATGACAGATTACGGTGGATTATGCGCCCGTCAGACGAGACGCAGTAAACCAGGCAGTTGTGGATTTGTGTGTGAAACAGGACGGTTGAAAGTGGTCGATCCCGACACGGGAAAGATCTTGGGGGTCAACAAAACCGGAGAAATATGGGCCAAATCGTCATACATGATGAATGGATATTACAACAATCCCGAGGCTACAAAGAACGCTCTCGATTCGGACGGTATAAAATATTTCGACATGGGGCATTGCGTTTGCAGAGGAAATATAGATATTTTAATTAAGATCTGCAATTAATGTGTAGTAAAAAAATCTATAAAATTTCAGAGTTATTATGGTTTTTTTAAACCATTATATTCTAAAATCAATTAATAATAGTTATTTTCATTATTATCAATACAGTAGATGTTGTTTGAAAAATTAATCAAAATATCAAAAAGACTCGTGAAGTTTCAATATGGACGTGACGCTAATTTTAGGATGGTTGCATACTGGCGATCTTGGTTATTACGACGACGACGGTGAAATCTTTCTCGTTGATAGAATATCAGAATTCATCAACTACAGAGCCATCAAGATATCGCCTGCGGAAATCGAAGCCTTGATTCAACAACATCCCGCAGTCCTCGAAGTCGCGGTGGTGGCAGTGCCACATGCCGTCGAAGAGGAACACGCTATGGCTTTTATCGCCAAAGTGCCTGGCAAAGAAGTAATTATATCCTAATATCAATATTGGATATTAAATATTTAAATATTTGTCAATTATTTTTATTATAAACTTGGGATATTAATGTGAGATCTTTCCATGTGAGATCTTTAACATTTGCAGGAATGTTTGCATTTTTCAATGTTAAAAAAATTATTTCTATTCTCCTAAATTATTCTGCATCAAGCTACTCGCTAAAGATGATATGTTAAATATTCTGATAGTTTCAGAAAATATATCTTTTTAGTTTGATTTTCACAAGGTCGTCGGATATTTTAAGTATAATATTTAGAATAATTCATACACTTTACTTTCGGCCATTCAGTTCATTTTTCTTTTTACAGAGATTAGTCTTATACAAATCTTGCATGTTATTTATTTTATCAAAAAGAGGATTGATTTGCTTCTGCGCGCGCAGCTTCAATTTACTGCAGGCCCTAAGTTTCACTGTCTTGTCCTACATACGTTACATTACAATTCCTCACGTAAATTTCAGACGACGGAGCTCGACATAACCGACTTGGTGAAGCGGAACATGCCATGGTACTGCAGATTGCATGCGGGAGTTAAATTCATGCAAAGGCTTCCTCGCACGGCCACGGGGAAGATCGCTAAGAAGGAGCTCAAGCAGATCGCTAAAAGCTACGCGATGAATTAAAATGTCATTACAATTGTTTATTTCACATATTTATGTAACATATATATTGTTCTATTAATCGTTTCGTAGTAGTAGTTATGTTTCTTCAGTATTCCATTTATTTAAAAATTTTTAATCTTTCTACACAACGTTCTACAGTATATAACATAATAATATGCAATGTAGTGCATAATGTAAAAATTCTCTCTATGTACATCTCTTGTTTTTAATAAATTAATTTAATGGAACCAATGTGTTATAGAGAATCACACTTTATCAAATTTATAGAGCGAAGTATCGTTTTATCGCGTACTCGTGGCTCATGCGTATTTGTTAGGTGATTATCGATGAAATATGATATTACGATAGTGTTCTGATACTTTGGGATCGCTACACATAGATTTATGATAAACCAATTAATAAAGCAATATCGGATAAACGATTTCAATAGAAATAAACGATTGCCTATAGGTGATATAAATTGACTGCTATTCATCATATATTGTAAGCATATAAAACGCTATCGACAAATAAGGATAATTAAAATAGAATAAAACTTGAAAAATTTCTGCCGCTCGCTTCTTCTTGTTCGTTATCGCAAAGCACAACTGAACACCATAAAGCGTGTAGGAAATACCGTCGGATAAAATATCGTTACGATCTTACACAGTTCGAAGTAATGGAAATCTTTGTGGAAATGTTAGAACGAAACCCAAGAGATTTTTCCGAACGTCTTGCTCGTCTATTTCGCTTGTCATTGTTGGAAGCGGATTTTTCCGTCGCGGGACATTCATGTTATGTCATCCCTATTGCGTACGTCTGAGTACCACGATGTAGCTCGGTACATGCATTAAAAAGAGAAATTCAAGCGAATCAAGAGTAGTTCCGTGCGCAGTAAAATACGTTCGTTCCGATTGCTTCGAATGTAGAGAGAAGAATAAAATAAAATAAAAGGTAAATTTCCTTATTCGACAAAGACGTAATGGTGTAAACGTAGCATGACGTAATAGTGTAAACATATACAGCATATAATACAGCTTGATTATATCAACAATTACTTGCAAGATACATAATATAAAGCTACAAGGCACAAAAGTTAAGGAAATGATATTTATTATTATATTTTACAGATTTATAAACATTGGTAGTTAAAACTTATGTTAAAGTTGTTCTCGATAATTCATTTTCGTATTTGTTAAATTAATATCAGTTGCAATACAATCAAAACCAAAAGCAATATGCAAACGCCTTTAACTCTCGTGTCGAAAATAATCAAAAGAGAAGTGCACTTGAAGAACGTAAAATAGCGGTTGTCCCGATTATACTTCCGGTAATCGCCTTCAAATGTAAAGTGCGCAAAACTGTAGCAAAGTTTTAATATTGGCTTCGCAGCGTGTTTAGTCCGGCCACACTCTTTCCGCTCGATAAGAAAAAACTCAATTAAGTGTTTGTAAGTAGCAAACATGCAAGGCTCAAGCAAAGAAGCGCGTCGAGATAATTTCGTTCTCTCGCGCAGTCGACTAGCCTTAAAATCAAAGTGATTTAGTACACCGCGACGTGTCTAGATTAAATAAATTGAATTTAATTAAGTTATTGAGACGAACTAAAACGACCATAAAATAAGCTTTACGTCACCAGTGATTGAAAGCAGGTTAATTACAAATATCGGTTGTCGAAGAAACGCAACGTTTTTTCACGTGAAGAAATCGCACTATGGTCGATCTTCTTTAAGATAAATTTATCGTTTGCAAGTGACGGCTAAAGAATTGATGGAGCCGACGCAGGGAAATCGGAAGGGCTTTTGCAAACTTCGCGAGAACATTAAATTCTTTGAGACACTGTCGCGAACTACTAACACGTATAAAAAAACTATCACGTATAAAAAAAAATTGATAAGATTGAAACAGCTTGCTGAAAATTCATTGACGAATGCAACGATCGTGTAAAGACTATTACTATTAATTTTTTATGAGACTATATTATTATATTTAACACTATGCAAAATGTTTAATTTGTTCGTATGTTAGTTAACATTAATATTTATGATTAACATGTGCAATGGCAAATATGTGTGACATTCAGTCTAATTAAAATTATCCCTTTTCTTATTATCGGAGATGTCTTATTCGGGGGAAAAAAAAGAAATGCAACAATTAAAAGTGAAGTAAGAAATCGATAAAAAATCGATGGAGAATCAAAAGAGAAAGCAATCTCAAGTGTAACAAATATGACATTTCACAACGTTTCCAGAAGAGATTACGTTTATTCGTATAGGGGACTGTTACGAAATTAACTCTTTATAAAGAGTACAGTTTTTATAAAGGATTTCCTCATTGGAAATTTACTGACGTTATCGTGAATAATTATCGTGAGTATGCACAGCGAATCTCTGTCGACGATGACAAAAGTAACAGTATCAGCGATAAAATGAGAGATAGTGAAGAATAGAGATAATGAAAAAATACCTTTCAAGAAATAGACTATTCATACATCATAAGTATTTTATAAATAGAAAGATTAATAGCGCATATTAATAACTTTTAATTGAAATTTCTATATCTAATTTATTCATTCCTAAATTAACTATTATAATTTCATGCCATGTCAATACAAAATTAGTATAGTAAGAGGGCTGTATTGAAATATTGCATGACAAAATTTTGTCATGCAAATTGAAATTTTTTTCTCTGTCGCTGGCGTAAAGAATAATAATACTAACGCTATCATATTAGTCTTTGGCGTCAACATACATCCACATTTAGTTGATTAGGCAAGTCCCATTTGAACTGTTGAATAAAGCAGGCATAATTTGTTCTTCCTTAATTTTGTTCTGCACTATTTGCGTTTGTGTTCTCTTTTATTATCAACTTTGTTCCACCTGTTTGATCTGTATTTTTATCAAGTTTATTCCATTTTGAGCCAAGGCCAATATAAAAGGAGAAAAAGAAGAGGTTGGTCAGAAAATTGCGTAGTGTTATATCGTCGTAGTATCGTAACACGTTAAGGTAAGAAGGTAAGACGAATAAGACAGTATTTTCAATAATAATAATAATAATAATAATAATAATAATAATAATAATATATATATATATATATATATATATATATATATATATATATTATTTAGATGTTTTTTTGATAACTTTAGCAGATTGATCATACGATTATACAAAGTTAATTATAATAATATACAGAGTGTTTTGATTCCTAATCGCACACCACTTGTGTAGAGTCAAACTGAGCAGAAAAGTCTTCTATCATTTTGCGATTTTCATAATTAGTAACAAGTTGTTAATTATTAAAGATAGAGCGCGTATCCGCCCGGACCAATGCAAACGCGCGGCGAGGTGCAATCGTCCAACGTGTTCGCAGTTGATAGGGCGAGATATTTAGATGTGAACAAATAACAGTCTATAATAATGTCTACAAAATAACAGAACATCTGCTTATTGTGCACATCTTCAAAATTCCACTTTCATCGCGCTCTTATCATGGACACTGTGTTGGACAATAGCACTTCGTCGCGCGCTTGTATTGGACTGATGGGATACGCACTCATTCTAACGATCTTTATTTGCGAAAAATCGCAAAATGATAAAGAATTTATCTGAAACATAACAAAACAAAATATTTTTATCAAAAATGTTTTGTTTTCAAGATATTCGACCATTTCCACAATTTTGATACACTTTGTATATAATTGTATGATCGTTTGATATAATATATTATTATAAGTTACTTTGTATCACGATATAATCAAATTGCTAAAGTTAACAAAAGAAAAACATTTTAATAATAAATATTCATTTCTTATTTATTAAATTTATAAAACTATCTGTAAAGCGTAACCTGTAACAGAATAAACGTATAATAGATTTTATTACTGTTTCAATAATTGCTAATACAATTACAAACAAGAATATAATATCAACACAACATGATAATACGATCCCGGAGAAATTGCATGTAACATTTCGATATCATTATTGATCTTTAGCAAACAACGCGAATATATTGCGAAGTAATTTATGAATACGCAGTATTAATGAAAATAAACAATGGAAAGTGGATAAGACGTAATTTCTCAACGCAAAGAAAATGATAACTATATTGACAATCGGTATTTTAAAATGATTTAAAACATTATCACAATTTCAATAAACACTTGTACAAGTAATGGTATCAATGAATTCTTCAGTTAAATGCATACTAATTAAAAGACTAATTTGTTTAAATGGATTTTCTAATTAATAAAGTGTATTTCTAATATAAAATAATATTTTGCATAATATTATTATAACTTATTATAATATTATATCTGCAAAATATTCCTTAATTAATAAAAATGAATAAGATTATAATTTATATTAATAGATTATATAATAATAAAACTAAATATTTTTATCTCATTCATTATTGATTAGTCATTATTTGTATTAAATTTTATGATTATTTTAATATTATGTTCATGCTCATATTACAAATTTTTACAACGTTTTTACAACGCTAGCATTGTATTTCTTTACTGTTTGCTCGAAAAGAAAGTAATTATATTTCATTAATTTTCAGTTTTTTAAGTTAGTTACAAATTGGTAATTCGTATTATTTATAGATGTTTCAAGCAATAAAATATATATATTTTTTGGAGCACATGCATTAATTGTCTGGATAGATTAACATTTGTTATAATCTAGCGTTACAAAAAAATATCTACAAATTTCACATTTATATTTTAGCAGTGTCGGATGGAATGTCATTCGAGAATAGACATCGTGCGGTTCTGTGAAGCATTCGGAACGACATTTGTCAACGTTGTCAGGACGGACAGTAGCAGTTCGTGAATGTAGCAGAAAAATTTCACAACCGTTGCGCACGGTTGCGATAAATTACCGTAACGTCGAATCGGTGCGATGCATACAGCAACGCTCAAATGCAACTCCGTTTCGATAAGCGTATTTTTATCGCTCGGTGCAAATGCATTTTGCAAACCGCCGAATAGAAATTCTTGCGACCTCATAAATTTATTATGCCGCCGAACAAAAATTCTCGAATAATTCGGCGTAGTTCATATCTTTTCCGAACAGACGCGTTTCGAAGTTAAATATTTGTAAAGGATAATTGACATTAAATTTAAGTAAATAGATAAGATCATTTT